AAGACATAATTGTTCACTAATGTATGTATATTGATGAGTACAATTTTTTTTTCTATTAAATAACCTCAAAAAATGACTAACTCCACTGTTAAGGGGTGGGTTGTTTTTTGTTGACTTGCTCTCTCACAATAACACAAAGTGGGTAAAAGGCAGACATACAGATTTCTATGCAACCAGATTCAGCCCAAAAATCGGATCTGCAGCAATACCTCTAACTTTGCTGAAGTGGTGACAACAGCTATAACTTTGTCATAAGAACAAGCCAAGACACATGACAATGCCTCTAGTTCCAAACCCACTTAATAACTGCACATTCAGCATAGAGCCCAAAAGTGACTAACGCTTTAATCACCGGGAGTCCTTCTGGGAAACGTTGACAAAGAAGGTTTTGCAAAGGTTAACAAAACAAGAAAATTACAACTTTTCACAAACTAACCTCACTCCTGGAATGGCTTCCATCGAAATTACAAAACAATACCATATCTGGAGGTGGATTTTTCCCTTTAAACCATAACTCCTTCAGTTGAGCTTCTCCTTGGCCGGTAATAAAAGGCAGTGGCTGTACTGTGTGAAGCTTCCAGGTGTGAATGTGAAGCAGGGTGCTGCTCTGGCATGCACGCTCAGCAAACCTTCACTGGCTGAAAAATAAAGGGTGAACAAATTGGACTAAAGCAGTCCTGAGCTCCTGCCTTCCGCCTACATAAGGGCAGCGCTGAGAATAAGGGGCCATCATAATTAATTATGTTTATAGTGACTAATTAAATCTGATTGATGCAGGCATGAAAACTATGACAGTGGACTGAAAGGAAAGAGTAAAATGTGATTACTTACAACTCCACTGCCACACATTACATCAAAAGCATTTTAATTTTTGTTTTAATGAGGCTCGATCTAACCTGCACAGATCAGCCTTGGCTATCAGCATTTTTATATACAGATAGACAGAGAGATAGATTTCAACAATAGCCACCACATAAAGTGGAATATAATGCCTTAAAATTTCAAAATATTACTATGTTTATTAATTGTGTAAACTGCTCGACAATATAATTACACTTAATTAATTGTGCAGTCCTGTTCTGTACGAGGACAATTATGATCACAAACGGATTATTGGATTGGGAGCACTCTGTACAATTTGTTCTGTAAAAAACAGTCTCATTATATCGGGTCTCTGTTACAGAGTGCATTGTATATAGGTTAGTTTTCTCCTACCTTTTCTTTTTGAATCGATAAAGCTTTGGCAATAAGAAAGTTCGTTTCTGCCTTGCTATTGTACCTGGACACGTTATTGTGGCTTGACAGCTTGTGTCGATGTAAAGAAATCAATATGCATTGAATAAGTACAATTAAAATTCAACTGTAGAGGCTCCGAGTGATATTTACTCAGCGCAATTTGGGTCCTATACAGGATTTGTTTACACGCATTATTTCTACTTTAATCAGAACACAACGATCTTACTGGGAAATGTGGGTCGTTGTCTTTACAAAACAGTGTTTTGATAGCGAAGAAAGTCTAAAAATGACTGTTTCTGATTCTATGGCACTAAAAATGCACGATCTGCTCCGCTAACATCTGCACTTCCCATGGCCTTGAGCAAGCAATTGAACTGACAAATGTCCCAGTGGAGCATCTCAGCGACCAATGGTGAGATGTCTGTGGCTGTTTCCAGGTGTAAATATGTGCAGTCGTATGAATAATAAGCAGCTGCCAAGACAAAGCATGTCTGCTGAAAAAATAAATAAATAAAATCTCCCCACAGTATTCGAAGACAAAAAGAATAAAAATAAAGCAGCGAACGCATCGAGTGACAGTGTGCACAGTTGCTGATAATGACAATAATATGCTGGCGATGCTGATAAAAGTTTCAACATTTTAAAAGCAGAACAGTTTTTTCATGCAAGCTGGTTTCCATTCACACTGCTTCATTGACATGTCATGTCACACAGGGATATGGTACCAGGCACCTTTTGCTCCTCACAGGTCAGAGGTCACAATAACTTCCAAGAAACAGAAAAGGAGAGTTAACTCACACTACTTGACCCTTGCCCTGTATTCCCCATGTGCCCCACTATGTGCTTTGACTCCACAAGAAAAAAAAGTGTGTGACTGC